GGCTATAGCTCACTCACACCGAGGACCTATCCATGTCATCATTTACCCAAAATGCTTTGTGTGGAAATAAAATGGCCCCGTCCATGTTAAAATGTATTTTTAAAAATTTACAAAACTGAACAGCCAACAGTATTTTTACAGTCTTTATTTTACAGTTAAAACATATGTTTATTAAATAAAGTCTAATGTTACAATTAATCATGGATCCCTTTAAAAGCAGCCAAAATGACACTGAACAACACTTTTTTGCAGCATTTTTACATGATGATAAGCAAACAGTTTGTTCATCTTTATCAGGACTCATGAATCTATCCAACTTTTGATTCAAATTTGAGTCAAATCGGCATTAAACAAGTTCATTTATCAACTCAGCGAATGTGATCGCTCAGTCTTAAAAACCAGAGAAATATGCTTTTTAAATAACTTTTGACATTCCTTTGACCAGACCAGACCAGCAAACCACCATTTCTTTCTTTATATTTGCAGACATACTTAAAAAAAATCCAAACAATTTGCCCACAAGGCTTTACTTCTCCTGTTTCCTAAACTTGTTTGGTGCAAACTTAGTRTTTTCATTTTTCCTGATCATGCAAAATAACTCAAAATAAGTCCCTTTTTGGGTACAGATCAGAAAACAGAAGGTTTTTGCTTGATGTTCYTTAATTTAAGCAGCGACAGACGGTACCATTGCCACTTTTGAACAGCTTGCATTGCTTAAAATACTTTAAAATCTGTTTGTTTTCATTTCGAGCTCTCCGAGACCATCAGARTGATTTATCCTGCTGGTTGTGTACGTGATGTAGTCCCCAGTCTCCCCAACAGAGACATTAAGGGAATGTGATGGAGGTGTTTGTTGGTATTATTAGATTTGGCATGGAGTCAAATGGGCCCCATGGGGTTTAGGTAATATCAGATTCTGGATACCAATGAAGAAATGGAGCAAAGGCAGCAGGACAGAATGGAACTTTAGGTCTGATTATTGGTACAAAATGGTGTTTGTGTAAGAAGAGAAACACAAGTTTAAAGACGCAGAGAAAGTGATGCACATCTGAACATGACATGTCTGCAAAATTGTTTATTTTAAACCATTTTTTTACTTACAATGTTGTAAAACCTGATTTGGCTTATAACTTTCCACCAGTATTGATGATAAAGCAATGCTTTAACCTGTTTCTGTTTGTTCAACATAGTGGCAAAGTTTCTCATGAACTAAACAGATTATTGTGAAACTCCAGAAAACAACCACTGGATGTAGAACTGATTAACTTTAGGTGTCAGTCTGAATCAAGATGGCTGCCACAGCTGAATAATCTTAGCCAAYACAAAAATGATCATAACTCAGCCAGTCTTGCAGATTTTAAACCAAAATTTGGTTTTAGTAGCTGGGAGTCTTTCCCAATGCATATTCTGAGTACATTGCATAAGAATTTTGTTGAAAGCTTTGGCAGTAGCTATTAACAATAACACTTTTTAGCTGTTAGCAAAATATCCCATGAATCACTTAAAAGTTGATCAACCCAGTTCAACACTAAAGCTAATAGCCCTTAGTCAAGACAAACATGGGTATCTGTGTATCATGTCAGTATCAAGGTTTTGACTAAAATAGCAACAATTCCATCATTTCTCCACATAAGATGATCTGAAAGGTTTAATCTTGTTTAATTGTTCTAGTTGTTGCGTCTTTGCTCTTTTGTTCAATGCTGCTCTGTTGCTCCTCAGGGCTTCTGCTCCTGACAGTCTGACTGATCATTCTAAACTTTAATTCATTTTGACACCAGCTTCATGTTTGCTGATTTCTCATGAGCACGAAATTGAGTCAGTTTTATCGTGATGCAGGAGATATGGAACCTGACCCTCATATTATAGTGTTCTTTGTTTGCGGCGCAGTAACTACCTGCAACTTGATACTTTCTCAAAGACTCAATATGTGCAGAGACAGGAAGAAACACTAATTTATTTTTAGACAAAGCACAGAGATGCTGTATTTGAAGTGATGTCACCATCATAAACAGCTGAAGCAATCCTAATTTGGTCAAACAATCCAAAAATAAAAGATTTATTAATTATTACCTTCCCAGGAAGCAGACACAGATGATCAGCAGGGCACGCTAACGTACGAAGAGTTTTCGGTCTTCTACAAGATGATGTCTCTCAGACGGGACCTGTTCCTGCTGATGATGGCCTACAGTGACAGGAAGGACCACCTGACAGCGGATGAGCTCGCCAACTTTCTGCACAATGAGCAGAAGGTGAGTCATTAAAGTTTACAGAAAATTATTTATCATGAATATAAGCAAGTATTTTCTTTGCCTCTTTTTTTTAAATTTGACTACCAGCAGTGTTTAATACTTACAGTACTTCAAAAGATTTAACCACAGTTGCTGCACGTCTTGTGTTCATGTTTTTTTTTCCATAGATGACCAGTGTGACCACAGAGTACGTTGCAGAAATAATTAACAAGTTTGAGGTGTCTGATGAAAATAAACAAAACGGCGTTCTGGGGATTGACGGTAAAGTTCATTTTTTTATATTCTCAAACTTTTTTCTCCACCCGTGTTTATTATGGTTTACCACTACTTACTTTTCATCATTTCAATACTGTTTGCAGACGTTCATCCAATGAAGTAATTTTTTAAGCACCCGTTTACAACAAAAACCCTCTCAGGTGTTTTAAACATAAAGTGATCTAAAGTTGACTTCCAATAAAGCTCATTTCCAGCCATTTACAACCTCAAGTGTTTCTACTTAAAATGCAATGCCACCCACTTCATAACAATTTAAACTAAGTCCACTTCAGTTCAGTTTAATTTAGTATATTATTGTGTTATAAAATGGCCCTTTGAAATAAACTTGTCTTGTTGAGTGAACCAGTAAGTCATGTTAAAAWTTTTTTATTTTCTAATCATCTCATCCTGAGTGTGCAGCAACAATYGTCAGTGAAGAAGAAATATTTCTTTAACATTTTAAAAGTCAAAGCAGAATCAAACCAGAGCTACAAGTAAGGGATAATGATGAATAAAACAAACGGTCGATTGACCTTGTTTTTGCTATTCGCTTTGAGTCCCACTTCTCCTGATTACAATCTTAGCTTTAGCTTCTTTAATCAAATGAGATAGAAATGTCCAAGTGTCCTAATAAGTATTTAGGTTGTGTAGCTGAAGGGTGGCCCCCAAGGAGGTGAGGGAGGAGAAAAAAAAGAGGGGGAGAGGGACAGAACAAGAGCGGCGGCGAAGAGAAAAAAGAGAAAAGGACACAGACAATTGTCAGTTCTGGTCTGAGACTGTCTGAGGCATGAAGGCCAATGGTGTGTGTGTGTGTGTGTGTGTGTGTGTGTGTGTGTGTGTGTGTGTGTGTG